GTAGTTATTAATTTTTTGGGGCCCTGGGGAAGGAGATTTTGGGGAAAACAAAGTGGTTGCCTGCATTTCTCCTCACGGGGAGTGCGGGGAAACCTTTTTTTTTCCCTTCAAAATTTGGACCCCCCAGGGTCCGCGGGTCGGGGATCCCCACACCAGGGTTTCGGGGGTCAAACCACAACCCTGGCTCGGCCCCCATGGATCCCCGCGTGATAACCCTCCTTTGAGCAACCCCTGCTGCATAATAATCTACATAGGCTCTATTACAGAGGGCTACTGATTCATACTGAGCTTATTCGCTGCATCCCCGAACCTCCCCCCTCCGCCCATTAGCTTCTTAGTACTGTACAAGATTCATCTTTCATAAGTTTAGGGAGAAGGATGGGATGCCATTTTCATTTCCACTGTGCAGATGAACTTGCTATACTGAGGGGTAGTATTACCCACCCCCAATATGTACGCAAAATTTCCGTAATGACACTAAATGGTTTGAATTTTGAAAAAAAATACAGGAACAATGACTACAACAATGGTTACGCGGTCTAAGATTGAGGATTTGGACAAAGGACATTTGGACAATTTTTCCTATTTAGTTACTTTTTAAAATACTTATATTTAGTGTTTACTGTTAAGTTTTGAGTGTTTACTATTTAGTGTTAGTACACTGTTTACTAGTTGCAAGAGGGTTAACGGAGGGCTAAATTTTCAGACACTTTGTCACGCCATTTATATTTATAACAAAACCCAAAGGTCATTTTAACCAAACTTGCCACCAATTCATATAGTGTACACCATATATTAACTAATTGCCAAAAAAAAAAAAAAAAAAATCCAAATGCACGCCATTTACAACAAAAGTTACAAAACCCAAAGGTCATTTTAACCAATCTTGCCACCATTCGCAAAGTGGACACCATATTAACTAATTAGTATTTAGTAATTGCAAAACAAAAACCGAAAAGAAAAAAAAAAACCCTATAAAGCTACAAGGCAAACATGCACTTTCATGCAACAAAACTGAAATTACGGTTTGTGGGTCAAATTTTTATGTTTCGAAACTTTTTCTTTTCTTTTCTTTTTTGCCTGTTTTTGTTTTGGTTCAAGGTTGCTAGCTTGCTGTGTGCCAAATTTGGTGTCATTTGCAGCATTGGAATTTCCTCTGCCGAGTCTGCTGACATTTCTAAAATTGGAATTTTGACAAAATTTGCATGAAAGGCAAAAGTGCACTTTCATGCAACTTTCGCCAAAATTCCAAATTCAGAAATCTTCAAATCTTAGAAATGTCAGAAATGTCAGCAGAGGAAATTCCAACACTGCAAAGGACACCAAATTTGGCACACAGCAAGCTAGCAACCTTGAACCAAAACAAAAACAGGCAAAACCTAAAACAAACATGAAATTGGACCCCCAAACCCTAATTTCAGTTTTAGACCCGTTCATGTCTGAAAATTTAGGCCTCCGTCTACCGTCTCTCGATGATAAGATGATGGGCAGGATGTAATCTTGAGACCCCATCAGCAGAGGAAATCCCAATGCTGCAAATGACACCAAATTTAGGCCTCCGTTTACCATCTCTCGTAGATGGCCTCCTTGAGCGGCGACCTTGAGATCCCATCTACAAGCTGATCGACTCTGCGTTAAATCAGAGTTATTCCGCTCAACTGCTTCCATTTGGATTACAACTGACTGATTAGCGTACAAATATTGGGCCTCGCTCCACTACTCACCACATGCACAAAATACAATCAATATGGCGGTGTATCTTCCCACGTTGTAGCTGGAGATTCATTCTCATTTTGCTAACTAAGGATAGTAATGGAGCCAGGTCCATTAGAGGGTACCCCATATAAATAGACTTGGGCACAGTGATCCGTTTGGTTAACCAAAATGGCCCACTCCAAAGGGACCTGCCAAAGTCTGAATCCGGCCTCTACAACAATCCGGGCGTTTTAAAAAGAAGAAATAGAAGGGGAAAAAAAAAAAAAAAAAAAAAAAAAAAAAAACAATGTTTGAAGTTCAAATTAATAAGATTCGTAGTACTTCCTGCTTTGGTACTTCTACAACTTGGGAAGGGAATCTGGCCTCCTTCAGGGGGTGGATACATCACATCTCTACAAAAAGGTCATCCCTTTTTTTTTTTTTTGTGCCATCATCCCTTTTTTTTTTTTGGGCCAAGAAATTTAGTAAATCAAGCAACACTCCTTGATAAGTTGTCAACATGCGTCTGATGAACAACGTTTTTTTTTTTTTTTTTTACGTTTTTCTTTTTTGCCCCTTTCTCTCTTTCTTTTTTCTTTTTTCGCTCCTTGTTTTTCAAATGGCGACCGTGGCGACGGCCTTGAGATATCATCATAGGCATTGTGATATTTCCACTAATCAGCTTCCAGTGCTGTTCGAACTCAGGTCTGTATTTCAACACGTCAGGTTCGTACCAAATGAGGTATAGGCCAGGTGGTGGTTTTTCGATCCCATAAACACAACAATGCTCATAAGTCGTCAACATGTGTCGTGTCTGATGAACAAACGATTTAAAAAAATTTTGACTTTTTTTTTCACAACAATGCTTGTAAGTCGTCAACATGTGCCTGATGAACAACGATTTAAAAAAAAATAAAAAAAATTGATTTCTTTTTTCAACGGGTTTGTTCGATTTCCAGAAACGATGGACAAGAGATACGCCGTCGAACCTGGCCATCACACTGCAATAGTATCTAATGCCACACCCCGACCGCTGCTAATCTCCGACTTACGAGTTCCATCATTGTCAAACCCTAGTACAATCTCTTTTTATGATTTATCGTGTTTTTTTTTTCTTTTTTTTTTTTTAACTTCGAAAGAGGACAGGTGAGAGGTGGTTTGCATGAGAAGTATGTTGGGAGAGGAGTTCGGCATCAGGTTTCAAGTAGACTACCGGAATGAGCACATTTGCTTTCTGAGTGGGACCAGTCTGCGCCAACTTTGCGGTCCGCTGAGCAGACCGGGGGCTAGGTCCCACTTGCACGGATTAAGAGATTCTGGCCGTTGATCTTTGCTATCTACGGTCAATATCGCTTAATTCGTGTAAGTGGGACCTAGCCCCGGGTCCTGCAGGAGTCGTAAGCGGACCGAACCATTTTTTTGTTTGGAGACTGGTACCAGCAGAACTGTACGAACAGACAACATACGACACCGCCGGTTTACGACAGGACAGAAATAAGTACAGTGACAGCGTTGTCAATGGTCTTTTGGGGTCTGACGTTGACGAACTCCGCCATTTGGAGATGGTCGGAGTAACTGAGACGGGTTCGTGGGACGCATGCACGATACGTGTCAGGGAGAAGCTGGGTGGATTCCCCCCTGAGGAGGACCGTGTGGCGGCGGTCGAAACCGGTTGGGGTGCCATACCCACCAAAGAGAATGTGACCTTGTACTTGTGCACTATCTACGTGTACTGTGTGATTTTCTGTGAAGATCCACACTATCTTCATTGTCGAGATCCAACACTATCTTCATTGGCAAGATCCCTTGCACACAATCTTGGAATGGAGTCTTAGAAAATGGAGATGAGGTGATAGGTGGTGTGCAGGAGATGAGGAGCAGATTAGAATGGAGTCTTACAAAAAAAAAAAAAAAAAAAAAAAAAAAGAAATCAATCCTGTGACGTATAGGGGTTGGGAACAGTTGGGGGCGGTTAAGGACAATTAGGGGCTTTAAAAAAAAAAAAAAAAAAAAAAAAAAAAAGAAAGGGGGGGTGAGGAGAAGGTCAAAATGGAGTCTGTGGACAAAGCCATACCTTGTCATCTCCACGAACTTTCTGAAGATACTCAATTCCATCTTCTATGCTCCTTTTCACTCTTACTGCCGTCGAGTTGACGGTTCCATTTTTTCCAAAGCGCAGTGTGATTGGGAAAGGCACAAAGTCAGGTGGAAGAGTGAACAGAATCTAGTAGTCAGTTCGTGTCAATTCCCCTCGACAAACCACCGTTGAATTTGGGATTTTTTTCATTTTTAGTAAACCTTAAATGAGTTTTCTGAAAAAAAAAAAAAAACAGAAATTGAAGTTTCCCTCTTCCTTTCTCATCCAAACGAGCGAGATTTCTGTACATCACTTTCAGTATCCAAGGGTCCCAAACTCTCAGCTTCGTTGTTACCTGCGGACCGACAGCGCATTAGCATGTGCCATCACCAAGAGAGAGAGAGAGAGAGAGAGAGAGAGAGAGAGAGAGAGAGAGAATGGATGGATGGAATAGATGGAACAGATGGAACAGATGGATGGGCAGATAGAGAGTGATGCAGGAGGGATTGATATGTATATGGATGAGCATAAGGACAATCTTGCCAGAGTGAGGAGGAGAGGATGTAGCTGTGTGGAGTAGGGTTGAGGTTGGGGCATCATGTAACCACATTAAAGGGGGAGTTACGTTGTTTTAAGAGAAGCAAAGAGTTGAAAGAGCCCCTGACTGATAAGAAAAAAGTGTTTCGGGAGAGGCCTGTGGGCAATGCAGGAGAGAATGAGACTGAGCAAAATACTCACAATAGATTCTATGGCACTGTAGTCCACCAGCATTAATAGAGAAGCCACTCCGTACGAAGCAGATGATTGGAAGTCCGTGCACAAAGAACGGCCAGAACACAATTCACAGTTAGCATAGCCAGGAGGCGCGGGCAAAATGACCTGTTGTTTCCTCTCATGGAAGGATGTAGATGGAAAAAAAAGGCGGGTCGATGATGAAGATGCGCAGTGATTACGTCCCCGAGGAATCGCGATCCACAATTATGAATTTTTTCCGAATCCCGCTGAACATGTTTGTGTGCATTGTGCTTTACAATGTGAGCGTTTTCCCGATCAGTTTGATGTTTGAAAAAAAAAAAAAAAAAAAAGGGAAAAAAACAAGGGAGGCAAGGTAGCACACCAGCTGACGACGACCGGTCAGCAGAGAAGAAGACGACGACGACGGCGAAGACAAAGACAACGACGAAGATGAAGACGAAGACGAAGACGAAGACAAAGACAAAGACAAAGACAAAGACAAAGACGACGACGAAGACGAAGACGAAGACGAAGATGAAAGACGAAGACAAAGAAGAAGAAGAAGAAGAAGAAGAAGAAGAAGAAGAAGAAGAAGAAGAAGAAGAAGAAGAAGAAATTACTTGGGCTATCGCAGGGGCCGGATGACCTTCCGAATGAAAAAACCTTGTTGCCCAGGACAGGCAGAGCAAAGATTTTGTTGGCAATGAAAAAACACTACCACATCAGTGGAGTGCTTAGGCTTTAATTTCAGTATTCTTTCACTAAACATCCGCCAACACTCTACTTTCGCTATACCTTGGCTGTACTTTCACTTGACCTTTGCTGTGCTGCCCTGTGCTTGTAGTTATTGAGCTGTACATCAGGCCTCAGACCTCCTCCGTGCACACACGGAGGAGAATCGGCGCCCTCGGCCACAAGAGCCAAGTCTCTTAACCACTACCGCCAGGACACGGTGTTTGATCCAGTCTGTGCCCCCCTGAGCCTAGCAGGTGCGTGGCTCCCTGCGGCTTGACAGATGCCAGAAACAACAGTCATGTCCATGATTAGCTCTTGCACTTCCGGATACTGAATTCCGGTTGCTACCGTTAAGGGACGCTGGACCCGGTTTCCAGCAGGTGCTGCTCCCCACCAATAGAATGGAGCCACCCGTGGGGCTATCACAGGGGGCTGCTCTTATCACCCCCTAGGACACAGCCCCTGGATTGTTTTTTTCTTTTCTTTTTTTTTCAATCAGGACATGGTGTTTAAAACCGGAACCATACTCGTCCTGATACCCACCCTACAGCTGCGAGGCTGTAGTGTCCAACTGACACACAACACCACACACACACACACACACACACACACACACACACACACACA